CCCCAGCCCCTGTGAGCTCTGGGCTCTGGGTGATTGGGGTCTGATGCCCCACAGGGGCAAAACCTCAGGGACCGGTCAGTACAGACCCTGTTCTTTGCTCTGCTCCCTGCCCTGTTCCCTGCCTCAGTTTCCCCTGTGCTTGCTGCCCCTCATCCCTGCTTCCCCACACACCAGAGCAGAGGCTGTCTGGTGCCATAGTGGTGCTGTGCTTGGCACAAGGCTGCTCAGGTGCTGGTCCCATCTCCCTCACTCCCCTCGGCGCTCCGCTCCTCCAGACCTCCAACACGCTGTCCTGGGCCCTGTACCACCTCTCCCGGGACCCAGGCATCCAGGAGGCCCTGTACCAGGAGCTGAAAGCCGTTGTGCCTGCTGACCGGTTTCCTGGTGCCGAGGATATCCCCAAGATGCCGATGCTTCGGGCCGTTATCAAGGAGACTCTGAGGTACGGCCCAGCCTTTCCGCTACCCCAGGGTCCTGGAGCTGCTGAGCAGTGGGAGATGCTCCCCCTTGTCCTGCCTGTGGCTCTCTCCCTCTGGGGTCCCCCTGTGGGTCCTGCTCCCCCACTAACTCTCCCCATATCCCAGGGTCTACCCCGTGGTGCCCACCAATGCCAGGGTCTTCTATGAGAAGGACATTGTCATTGGAGACTACCTCTTCCCCAAGAACGTGAGTGGGGGCTGTGCCATGGGGACCCCCGCTGCACCCAGTGGGGCTGGGCAGGCATGATTTAACCCCCCCCTACTTCTTGCCCCGCAGACCCTCTTTGTCCTGGCACATTACGCGATGTCCCACGATGAGACCTACTTCCCCGAGCCCGAGCGGTTCCTGCCCCAGCGCTGGCTCCGGGGCCACGGCTCCCCCCACCACCCCTTCAGCTCCATCCCCTTTGGCTACGGGGTCCGCGCCTGTGTTGGCCGCCGCATCGCCGAGCTGGAGATGCACCTGGCCCTCGCCAGGGTGAGTAGGGACACCCCACCCCAGGTAACTCACCACAAACTGGGATGGGGGCCCCAGGGAGTCCCTGCCACCCAACTTCTCTCCGCAGATCATCCAGGCGTTCGAGGTGCGGCCGGACCCCCGTGGTGTGGAGGTGACGTCTGTGTCCCGCATCGTTTTGGTGGCTGACAAGCCCATCAACCTGGAGTTCATTGCTCGCCCAGGGGCCCCCTGACTGTGTGTCCATGCCCCCACCCTGGGTGCCAAGTGGGGACCCCCGCTGCCCCACGAGGAGGGGCAGGAAGGCAAACCCACCCCAGCACCCACTTGCTGCCCAGATAAGGCTGGGAGGCTCCCAGCCCCACTGTGGGGAAGATGGCGGGGATGAGGGATGCCCCCAAATTGCTCCTGGGGCACTGGTATCCCCCTACCCCAAATCAGCAGGAGGCTTGGGGAACTGCTGTGCCTTTCACATGCCGCAAGGGGTTGTGTCCCCCCCCATCCTGTGCCCAGCTGGGCTGCGTCGGGGACCTGGGAACTCTGCCGGGGCCGGGGAGGGAAGCGGGGAGGGGGTTTGCAGCCGTTCGGTGTCTCCTTCGTCCCGTCCTTGTGTAGCTGTGCGTGGATCTGTGCCTGGAGCCAGGACATCTGGGTCCTCTCTGAACAGCTGACCTTGGCCTCAGCCACTTCTCTGTGCCTCAGTTTCCCCCCCTGCCTCCGAGGGGAGGGTCAAGTGCCAGCAGGGGTTTGGGGGTTGTGCCTGGTCCCGAGGGACAGCACTGGCCATGGGCAAGTGCACCAATAATGCAGCACGTCCCCCGTGATGGGGAGGAGGCCTGTCACCACCCAGCGCTGGTATCATGTCCCCTGGCAGCACCAGCCAGCACAGGAGGGGTGTGGAGCACCCGGGACCTTTCACTATCAGCCGTTATTTCACTGAGATGTTGATATGGGGTCACGGGAATGGGGGCAGGACTCGCTCTGGGTGAAGAAGCCGGGGGAGGATCAGCTCAGCTCCCCCACCCCGTCCCCAAGCAAGGCCATGGGGCTGTTATCAGGGCCATCGCAGGGGCTTAGAGCTGGCAGCAGCCACAGGCAGGGAGGGGATGCATTACCACTGCCTCCTGGAAGGCTGGGGTATGGGGCACCCTGACAGTGAAACCCCCTCACCTTCCTGCCGCTTGGGGATCTTAGCTGGAGTGAGGGAAGCAGCAGGCAGAAACCCTGCTGGTACCAAGGCTGCTGTCCCTGGGATGTCCCCAAGGGGACCCGCACATCACCACCATTGTGGAGCTATCAAGGCTGCATGTCCTGAATCCCCGTCCCCCTGGCTCTACCTACATGGGCAGAGGTGGGAACCCTGTGCCAATGCTGCCCTCGCTGGCATCCCAAACGGGGTGCCCAGCCCTGCTGAGCAGCCTGTACCCCCACCCAAGCCAGCTCTCTCTGGAGGAGCCACGGCTGGCTGCACCCCAGAAAGGCGAGGCAGCAGTTCCCGGAACAGACTGCTTTATTACAACAAGGCTGAACAGACCCGCAAATAAATAAATACCCGATACCCACCCCAAAACATGCACAGGGTCCCCGTGCAAGTGCCCATCCTGGTGCCAGCTCTGGTGCAGGCTGCACATCTGCCAGGGAGCTCCAGCCCAGTGTGACCCTACAACAACCAAGCCTGTGTGTGCAGCTGAGCCTATGCTACCGGGCACAGCCGGCAGGACAGGGAGCCGAAGCACTTGAATCTGGCAGCAGGGTGGCAGTGGGGTGGCCGAGTCCCCCAGGGCCATGCAGGTCCCCGTGCCCACCTGTGGGCATGGCACGGCTCCTCCAGCACGGTGCCCATCGAGTATCACCATGTGCTTGCTGGTGCAGGGCACCCCCGGGCCCCCTTTTCCCTGGTCCCTGCCTCCCCGAGGCCAACAGGATCTGGC